CCCACAGAGGAGGCCTGCTCCGGGGTACGCTCCCTTCCCGTCCCCCCGGGCTGGCCACCTGGCCCGGCCTCGCTTCTTGCATTCCGAGGGCCTCCAAGCAGCCGCAGCGCTTTTCTGCGGAGATTTCCGTGCAGGCGTGAGAGCCCGTGTGTCTGCTGCTGTGACCTGGGAGGTGGCGTGACACGTGCCGGTCCCACCAGGTTTCGGGTTTCTTGAACATGATTTATCCAGGGTTTTTAAACTGTAAGAACTTCACACAGATGTCTGTCTTCCGTCCACATGACGGATGTAAATTTGGGGAATCAAGTCCTCACGACACACGGCCTCTGGGTTCTGTTTGTGCTCAGGCGCAAGGTTACAGAGAGGAACTCACCTGCGGGATTATCGTGGGAGGCCTCTGCGCGCCACTCCGCTGGTCGTGGGGCGGGCTGACAGCAGGGACCCCAGCCGGGGCTGTGGGCTGGAATACTTACACGCATGTACGCGGCCTCCCCGTGGGGCGAGGGCTTCCTCACATCATGGTGGCCGGGCCCGAGCACGACTCCCAAGGGATAGGCCTGGCCCCGGGAACGGCAGGGCATCCCTTCTGCCGTGTGTTGCTGGTCACTCGGTGGCAGAGCTGGGCTCAGTCGGGAGTGGGGTGACCAGAGTCCAGCTCCCTGTGAAGAACTGGGGGGCAGTGCTCTAACAGTACCCCAGGGTTCACTCTCATGTCCTCCCTTTCTGGACTCGGTATTCCCTCTCTCTGTAACGAGAGGTCTGGCTGGCGTGTCCACTTTCTTGATCAGTATTAGTGCCTCCTCCTCCTGCTGAGATCGGGGCCCCATGTGCAGGCGTCTGGACCCTGCAGGGCTCCCACTCCCCCGCCAGGGTGTCCCCTGTGCCTGTCCCCCGCCAGGAGGACACCTTCTCCGCTCACTCTGCACCCCAGGGTGTGTCTGTTGGCGTGCGTGCCACCAGGTGGGTGTGGCACACAAACCATACCCTTTAGTTCTGAGAAATTTCGTTGATTATTTTTAATGCCTTCTATTTTTTTCTGTTCTCAGTTCTAATTTATTGATTTTGGAGACAGGGAGGAACATTGGTTTGTTGTTTCACTTATTTGTGCATTTATTGGTTGCTTCTGGTATGTGCCCTGACCAGAGATTGAACCCGCAACCTTGGCCTATGGCAGTGGTCAGCAAACCACGGCTTTCGAGCCACATGAGGCTCTTTAGCCCCTTGAGTGTGGCTCTTCCACAAAATACCGACTTCTGCGCATGGGCCACGAAGTTTCAATCGCACTGTACGTGCGTGCCCACACGTGGTATTTTGTGGAAGAGCGACACTCAAGGGGCCAAAGAGCCGCATGTGGCTCACGAGCCGCGGTTTGCCGACCATGGGCCTATGGGGACAGTGCTCCAGCCACTGAGCCCCCCGGCCGGGCTCTGTTCTCAGCGTTCAAGTGATTTGTATTCTTCATATGTCAGGCCCCCGGCCTTTCCTCTCTGTGGGTCCGCCAACTGCTCTAGCACCCGCCCCTGCCTCTCGGCGGTTGAACATGTGAGAGTTCACTTCTTGCCCAGACTACGTTGGGTCCGTGTGCTTGCGTGTGCAGCAGTGCCGGGGGTTTGGGGAGTTGGAGACCCAGACCCGGCCCACCTCTGCCTGCGCCATCTTCACCCCTGGGGCCCAGGTTACTTCTGAGGGAAAGAGACAGGCAGGTGTGCTAACCTCCTTGGCTGGGGTGATGCGCAAGCTCCTTTGACCAGCGCTGGTCCTGTGGCCCCACCTGGAGGCCGGGGCTGGAAGTGCAGCTCTGTCTGCGCCCTTCTAGTGTCCTGGAGTGGGCATTGGCCCCTCTCGCGTTTGTTGCCCGGATCCCCCCCTCTCCCGAGGCCCGGGGCTCAAGCACGCACACATGGCCGGGCCGGGCCGACGTTCCCTGACTGCAAGCCTTCTCCGTCCTCACGAGGCTGCTGGTGGCTCCTCCCTCCACTCTCAGCTTCCAGGACTGTTCCTCTTCCTTTCTCTCTGTTATTTTTGGTTTAATTTTTTTTTTTTTTTTAAATTCTGTTCCTTGGGAGGAAGTGGAAGTAAATGTATTCACCAGAACGCTCTCGGGGCCTTTCAATGCTGCGTTCTTTGCCGGCTTTTTCTGCGAGAGAACCGCGGGGCCTTGCCTTCCTGTTCTTAGAAAAGGAGGCCTGGTCGGGGACCGAGGTGTGTCCTGGCGGGAGGATGTGCTCATAGACCCGCCGAGAGGCCGCAGGCTGGCTTCTGCTTCCTGTGTGCGGGCCTGGGCGTCTTCTCTCTTCCCTGGTAACACCCTCAGGTTTGCTCTTCCCCAGCTGCTGCTCTTTAAGAGACCAAGTCACGTGCTGAGGGTCAGGGTCAGGGTTAGGGCGGGGCTACGGCTCTCTCCTCCCCGCACGAGGCCTCTGCTGCTTCCCTGGCCTCAGGAGGCCTCCACCTGTTCGCTGGGGGGTCTCCTCTGATTTCACCTGTTTCATGGAATCCTCTCTCATAGGGGAGGGTGCAAAGCAGGTGATGCCCAAGGACCTCCAGGGCATCTGGGCAGGCGGAGGGCATTGCGCCCGTTGCTCCATGGGCTCTGCTCCTAAAGCCGTGGCCGGCAAACTGCGGCTCGCGAGCCACATGCGGCTCTTTGGCCCCTTGAGTGTGGCTCTTCCTAAGCCTTAGGAGCACCCTAATGAAGTTAATAACAATGTACCTACCTATATAGCTTAAGTTTAAAAAATTTGGCTCTCAAAAGAAATTTCAATCGTTGTCCTGTTGATATTTGGCTCTGTTGACTGATGAGTTTGCCGACCACTGTCCTAAAGGGACCACTGCGGGAACCTCCTGGTTGAGGAAGCCCCCCCACAGCCCGACTTTGATCCTGGGGATACGCCGGCCTCCCTTTTGTTCTCTCAGAGCAGAACTCTGCCCGCCGGCCAGACCCAGTCCCTGCCCCTGCAGCCCTTGCCCGAGGGTCCCAGCCCCGCCGTGTGCCCAGTCTGGGTGGGCGCAGCGAGGCTCACAGGGAGCCTGATGGCGCTCCTCTCCCGCCTCAGACCAGACGCTGTCACGTGACCTTATTCTGAGGGTTGGCAGAACTGGGGGCCACCTTTTCAGATGAAAGTGCCAGCCCAGAGAGACCGTTTATCCAGAACAGACTCGTGTCTGCAGCCCCAAGAACCGCTCCCCTACCTGTGGCCTTGGGCGGTGATGGGCCCTGACCGGGAATCGAACTGTGACCTCCTGGTTCATAGGTTGACGCTCAACCACTGAGCCACGCCAGCTGTAATTAAAAGACAGTTTATTGGATCAGCTCACCCAGTGCACCTGGAGCGCAGACGGTGCCGATGAGGGGGGTGGGGCGAGGTGGCGGGAAGGTGCGGGCCCCAGGCCTCAGGTGTGAGCAGATCTGTTTTCCCTTCTTTGTAGGACTGACAAGTCGACCCCACTGATCAGCAAAGGCCAGCCGCGAGGCCCTGGTAACGCTCTCATTTGGGGCTGGGCTTTCCTTCCGCTTGGTGAGTGGGGGTGGGGGCAGGGCCCAGGGTGGCAGCCCTGTGTGAGGGCCCGGCTGCCCCACCACCTGCCCCCCTGCCCCCTCCCGGCTGCCTCCCTGCCCTCTGTGGAGCCTCTGATGCTCCCCATTCTGGGCCCTGCGGCTGCTGGGGGTAGGAGGGCCAGGAGCCCCCAGTGGGGACCGGCTGGTCTGCAGGAGGCGCCCGTCTGTCCCACTGTGACACCTGCACACCCTACCCAGGGTGCGTGGAGGTCACAGGCTGTTTGGCGTGGGGGGCTTTTCCCTCAACAGATGAGAACATTTCGGGAGCCTTGCCTTCAGGCCCGACACTGGCTCCAGTAGTGTGTCTGTCCCGTGGTTGGGGCGGGGGCACACTGCGAGCTGACGCGTTCTGTCCTACAGCAGCGGACGTCTCCGGGACAGAAGCTCTGGGTCCTCTGTCCAACACCCCGGCCCTGCAGCCCCCCGCGCCCATGCCCAGGAAGTCACAGGCGGTAAGCGGTCAGCCCTCCTGCTCGGCCAAAGGGGTGCGGGCTATGCCCCGAGGGCTCGGAGGAAGCAGGTCTTCCCCTGGCTGGGGGGTGGGCGGCTTCTTCCTGGGTGCCCGGTCTTTGGATCTGGGCAGGATGCAACCCAGAGCTCCCAGCCGGGGGGCTCAGCCCTCTCCTGACGCTCCAGGACACCCCACACACATCAGCCCCAGCTGCCACGCTCCCGGCTCTCCAAGTGCCCCGGCCCCTGAGCCACCCCATCTTTTTAAAAATGTTTTTATTGGTTTCAGAGAGGGAGGGAGGGATAGAAACATCAATGATGAGAATCATTGATGGGCTGCCTCCTGCATCCCGGGCACATGCCCCGACCGGGAATCGAGCTGTGACCTCCTGGTTCATGGGTCGATGCTCTACCATTGAGCCACACCGGCCGGGCTGAGCCACCCGATCCTGACAAACCTGTGGCTCCCAGGTCTCTGCCCAGGAGCTGGTGCCGCCTGCTCACCGGCCTCTGACCCTCCCCTTCTGCACCCAGGCCAAGCTGAAGCCCAAGCGCGTGAAAGCCCTCTACAACTGCGTGGCCGACAACCCAGATGAGCTGACGTTCTCCGAGGGGGACGTGATCATCGTGGACGGGGAAGAGGACCAGGAGTGGTGGGTGAGTCGGGGCCTGGGCCTGGGAGGGCGGGGCTGAATCCCTGGCCACCTGGCCCGAGGTCTGCCATGTGAGGCCCTCTGTGCCCGAGTGTCCTCAGGCCTGCGGGCCCCTGGGGAAATGCAGAAAGGTGTAAAGGCAGAAAGTGCACCATGATCTCAGCCCCGCCCCCAGAAAACATTTTGATTTTCTTTTTGACTTTTATTTACCTGCATAACTCACATCGTTGAGGTCAGACGTGATGTGTAACTTATGTAATTTACCCAGAGCAAGAAGGAATGGATTTATTGGTCTTCGTGAATGCATGGCTACGTTCAAACAGGGCCACGTCACGTTTGCCACTTTGTGATGGCAGCTCACACACTCCTGACACTCGATTTCTTCATCCATTAAAGGGGAAAAAATGGCAAGCCTGTCTGTCGCCCCCAAGACCGCCAGGACGCGGTGGTGAGGGCTCCTCGGACAGAGCCCCTCTAAGGGAGAGCCTTGCGGAAAGTAGGCCGCGCTCTGCGATGTGAGGCAGAGAGAAGGGAAAGCAGTTTAGGCGTCTTACCCAAGTGATTCCTTCTCAGCAGAGTTTCTTCTGAACAATATTTTTTCTCTCCAGATGGTGCAATGCCCTTCCGAGTTCCCAGCAGTTGGAAGTTTTATAACCACCCAAATGTTTGTTCTTTTCAGATCGGCCACCTCGATGGAGACCCCAGCCGCAAAGGAGCGTTTCCCGTGTCTTTTGTGCACTTTATTGTGGACTGAATCGCTGCTGAACAAGCACCCTTAGCAGCGATGTTCCTGTTCATTGTTGGTACCACACTCTTGCCAGAAACCAGTTTCATGAACTGTAGGCCCACTTGCTCGAATGCCACTCACTGTTCTGTTTTTAAAACTCACAGGCCATTTCTATCTACAAATGGATCGTTTTTTATAATTTGTGATTTTCATGAAACATGGCTCTACTTTTATTAGGAAAAACTGAATTGCCTAAAAGGTGAGCTAAAAAGCTATTTTAACTACACAGTCAAGATCCCGAATCGACAGAATTAGCGGAACCCGATTCGAGGACCAGAGATTCTGCCTGCGCTCCTTGGCCCGATAATGACGTCGGTGCTGCCAGCTACTCGTCGTTTAGGAGGCGACATGCTATCAGTTCCCCTTTAGAGACCTTTTAAAAATGCCTTCTTAAGATTTCCCTTGAAAGCCACCCAGTGTTCAGTTAAAGCAACTTGGAAACGGACACTAGCATTGTACACTCCAACCCTGATGTGTGAGGGTGCGACGCTCCTTGTATTCTGCATGTGTGTGTAACCTGTTGTGAACAATCCATCCTCCCTAACAAAACTGCCAATAGCTGATCGTGGCGCACGATAGTAACAGTTCATTCGGTTCCAGGGTGGGTGACACTGCGTTTCCTGAGTTCGGTTAAAAACTGACGACGATGGATTGCAAAGGGGTTCTTCCCACTGGTTTGGATGCTCTAGGTGTTTCGGAAACTGCCTTCCTGAGCTCCCTCCATCGCACAGGTAGCCCGCGTGCGGGCCCCGCTGTTGCCACCCGCTCGTTTCCCACTGAGTGTGCCCGCCTTCTCTTCTCGCCTGAGAACGCCCCAGTCTAGTGTCTGGTATTTATATCACACGCCGATAGGCTAGTGGTTACACTGTCTTGACATTTAATCTTCCTTCGTCGGTAGCCAAGCGCATATCAGAAACCCATAGGCCCCGGGAATGAAACACACCCAGACATCCCAGTTTTACTCTAAGCGTCATATCGTTCTTACACTTAAACTACTGGGGCTAGGGGGTTAGGTTGTATGTGATAAAATCAACTCATTAGTTTGATGAACTTGACTGTCATACCTCTACCTAGTCATTGAGTGTGTTCATGGGAGGATGTGGGAAACGCCGGCTCTCTGAGGAGAAACGGGCATAAACGCCCACCTGGCTTTTTACCACCAGCCCAGGCCCGAGCTGCAGTGCAGGCTCGGAGAGGAGAGCGAGGCGGCGGCGCCTTGGAGCAGAGCAGCCTGTCACGCGGGTCCTTCTTATAAGTGTAAGATGTTTGCTTTTGTTTGTGATTGTGTTGTTTTTCGTTGCTATTCTGAAGGAAGACAGAACTGGAATGTTTTATGATGTTGTATGCCCATTGCTCTTTGCCTGTCACAGTTCCAGGTAAAGTGTGTTAGCTGTATAATTAGTCTTATTTTTTAAAGCACTACATCTCTTTTCACTGATTGTTAACTTCTGTTGTTTGAACCCTCCATTTAGTTAACTTTCTCGCAGATTTAAGGAAGTGAACAGATGTGTTTTTTGCACCACGCACTTATTTTAACACAGTCCCCCCACATCTGCCTCTTACAATCCGCCTTTGACTCCTCGGTGCCACTGTGTGGGAATTAAAGTTGATCCTATCAGCATTCGAATACCACTCCCAATCTGGTGTCCCAGGCTCACTGGGGCAGACATCCAGGAAATACTTTCCAGGCTACAGTTCGGTGGTGCTATTGTGCATCATGGATATGACTCTTGTCAGAGGAGAAATCATCAACTTCCCTGCTGATAGCCTTTCCTACTTATTTGCTCTCTGCAAATAAATTTAAAAAGTGAGAGGAAGGAAAGCGTTGTAGATATCTATTTATATTCCAGGTTTATGTTCCATGAACTTCGCTACGGGATCCTGGCATTGTGTGTGCCCTGGTCAGGTCTGACTGCAGGCATGAGGACTGGGAAACGGGCAGACCCCGTGTGCTCTGCTGAGGGTGGGCACTGCCACATGCAGCTGGAAATGCTCGGAGATGTATGATACTCGATTCATCCACTCAGTTCCTTTGGTCTAGTTGCAGCGCAACTGTACATATTGTATAACCTAAATCCTTATTTTCATTGTCCTCGATGCGGTGATTTATACCTAGAGCATGTTAATAAGTCTACTCTTCTTGGTGACTAGTCATTTGACTAGAAAAAATAAAATACTTTTAAATGGACATGGACTTGGTTTTGTTTTTAACCCTTCAAGCTGTGTGTGTGGGAAACAGCCCTTCACTAACCAGCTTGCTATACGTGAGCGTCTTTATTCGCTATTTTAACACATGCGGTTCTGTCCGCTCAGGTAAAGGTGGAGGCTGACTGGCATGTCATCCTGACGACAGACTTTTAAAGTTTTACCTTTTGTGTCGAGTGGGCAGCGGCGCGTCCCCAGGCCAGAGCGCTGAGCCAGAAAGACCACGGCCCTGGGGAGGCCAGAGCAGCGGCCTTGGGCTCCCTCTGAAGGTTCTCAACCTTTATTGATGGCTCACTGAGTGCACTCCGGGACCCTTAAGGGGTTAAGCTCATTTGTGTTTAAAAGCAACAAATGAGGTTTCTTAGTCCCAATCGTAACTTCGCTGAGTTAACTCACTGTTAATAAGACACATTTTAATAGAAAAACAAATGGCCAATGTTTTATACGTTGCATTTTCTTCCCAGAAAATCTAGAACAAGGGGTCACTTCATACTTTCATGCTAGTTCAGCGCTGCAGATTGAAAGCCAGTTTAGAAAACAGCCAATCTTCCTCCCGCGACGCCGACCCGCTTGGCAGACTCACGCCTTCTCAGCTGTCAGCACGGAGTCAAAAGCGGTGGACAGGACTTTGCAGATGGCTTGTGCTTGTTCCTACATTGAGCGAAAGGCACAGGAAGGAAGTTCACAATCTGCCCCTGAACTTCACTTGACCAGCACAGGTATGAACCTGCCCCTTTCACTTCTCACCCTACGCGTGACATTGCCGGCTTGGACCACTGCCAGCCAGGAAGGACACGCCAGGAAAAGCAGGGCCCCTGCCCCAGAGGACCCCCTCCCCCCATCTGCTGTGTGTTCACCCTGAACCTCTGATCCCGGCACACGGTCCCCCGCAGGAGGCCCGGTCAGCGGGCTGACGGCCACGTGTGTACGCTATGCCGGGGTCAGACACGTGGAGAGCATCTCGCAGCCTCTGGTTTTTCGACTCTGTCTGGTGAGTGAGAGAGAACCACGGAGGCTGAACCTCACCAGGCTGCTGCACTGGTACACCCACAGGCTGACCTCCTCGTTGCTGGCATTGGTGGTCTTCAGCGCCAGCAGGCTTTTCCCCGCCCCCAGGCCGTCGTCGTAGCACACCATCCGGATGATCAGGTAGAGGGCGTGCCTGTGCAGCACGTCCTGCAGCGGGAGGAGAGAGACCGTGATGGCGTGCGCATCTCCATCACTAAGGACACCCTTTCCCCTGCACAAGTTTTCTGTGAGGCTTGGAAACACAAGATCAGGTTTTCCGCCCAAAGGGCGTCCCAGTTGCTCAGCCCCGGGGTTACCCCTGGCTCCTCAGACTCCAGAAAGACAGGAGTCAGGCGACCCAAGTTCACCACTCAGTCCTCCCCGCCCAGCCCCCAGCTGGTGGCCCTCCTGTGGGCAGCAGAGGTGCTGGCGTGGGCCCCACCACACAGGAGCGCCAAAGGGAAGCTCCCTCCACCCACCCTAGGAAACGGGCGGCTTTTCAGACCAGAGGCCAGGCACGTGCCAAACCCCCGGCTCTGCAGACAGGAGCAGGCCAGCGGCAAGTGGTCCTGAACCCCACCCCCCCCACAATGCCCCAGACACCCTTCCTGATCACTTACATACTGATCGGGTGTGGATACTTTGATGCCGTACTTGGAAACGCCCATAATCACTTCTTCCTCCAGGGGAACGAAAGGCAGCTTCCCATCTTGCTGTAGGTAAAAGCAGGGACGGGCGCACACTCAAAACCGTGACCTTAAACCCGCTTTAGGACCTGGCTCACAGACCCCAAGCTCTTGAAAAGAACGCAGCGCACACAGCAGCGCAGCAAGAACATCTCTCCAAAGAGGCAGAAAACCCCCTGCCCCCCCCTTTTTTTTTTTACAGCCAACAAATCTGAGCAAAATTCAGACCCATGCACTCCAGGGCCTTTTCTCTCCCCGTGGGGATTAAGCCTCATTACAACCTCCAACCCCTCTCCAATCCGGGTGAGGGTTAGTGGCTCAGTTAGAAGAAGAAATAGTTCACACTCATGTCAGCACGCAGTCAGGGAACACGCCACAGGAACCAACTTTCGCAGCCACGCGATAGCGCACCCAGGGGTCGGCTCTGCCCGGCGCTCCCCACGCCCCAGGGTTTGGGCGAGGAAACAGTGCTTGATGGACAGTTACTCGCCCTCCAGCCTATCCATTAGCAGTGTGAGCTCTCTCCGACTGACCGGTTCTCTCTCCTGCACTGGAATGCGACCTAACTTGTCTTCTCTAACATCAGGTCCAGTTGGCAATCAGTAGGTGCTCCGACTAAATGTTTCAGGGACCTTTTGTCTACATCGAAGCCACTGTGGTAAAGGAGCAATGCCCACTTGCCTCAGTTCTGGGGTGCTCACAATGCTGTGGGGACCCCCCGCCAGTCATTCCTCACAGTAGGTTTAAGGCAGTTCCAGGAATCGAAGGACGGGATAACCGTAATGCTACTGCCAGTGACTGGGACAAGCCCATTTCTCCGGTGACAGGGGAATGAGCAGTCCCTGTCGGAAGGAAAAGAAGCCTAGTGTGGTCTGGGGGAAACATTAGCGATCTCTCAGCATAACAGGGATGTTAGTTTGCGCGTTGTAGGAACCACTATATTCCAAACTAAACCTGGGACACTGACCGTGGTAGCCCCACCTACCAAAGGCTGTCTGTTACATGGCAAGTTCGAATGGCGATTTCCTCACCGATGAGACTCCTCCCGAGAATATGAAACAATGACCCCTTGGCCATGGCTGCGGAGAACAGGTTCTCAGGTCACCGGCACTGTGGCCTGATAGGGAACCTTCCCTGGCCCGATAGCCCCGTTAGGGAGCAGACACCCACTTCCCTCTTCCACCTCCTGGGCCTCAATTCTTACGGAAACGGCAGGAATAAGTAGGTGCGCTAGGTCGCCGCTGAAGATTATTGAGGAGCTAACACGAGTTCGGCGCAGATCCAGGAAGGTGCAGGCGGCTTTACAGACAAGCCTGTGGCATGTCACAAGCCGCGGCTCCGTGCCTCACTGAAACAAGGAGGTGCGTCGGCCCCAGAAAAAGTAAAAAGTCCTGTTTGTGGGAAGGAACGGCTGTTCCCAGGCGACCATGGTCCAGGACACCTGTACCTCCTTCACCCACATTGTAACTGTGAGGTAGCCAGGCTTGGGGACAAGCCATGTGTTTCTCCAAAGCCAGAGTTTACTCTCTAGACCAGGGGTGGGCAAACTTTTTGACTCGAGGGCCACAATGGGTTCTTAAACTGGACCGGAGGCCGGAACAAAAGCATGGATGGAGTGTTTGTGTGAACTAATATAAATTCAAAGTAAACATCATTACATAAAAGGGTACGGTCTTTTTTTTTTTTAGTTTTATTCATTTCAAACGGGCCAGATCCGGCCCGCGGGCCGTAGTTTGCCCACGGCTGCTCTAGAATCTTATAAACTGGAACATTTTTGTCGTTACCTGGGCAACGTCTATATAATTGATCAGGTCCAGTGGCCCTTCCAGACGTTTTCCTTCAGAGAGTTTCAGTTTCTCAATGGCACCGACGTATCTTATTCGGAATTCCGCACAGGCGTCTGAGTTGTTGTTGCTTTGTCCTAAAGGTGAGCGAAAATTCAGCGTAAGACTTTCCTATCCTCAATCCCTGCCCAAATAAGAAACGGACTAACAAAAATAAATTTCCTGACATACAGAGTTTTTTTATAGAATGGGAAAGAATTTAAAATCTCACTAACCTCTTCCTCAGGTACAATATTGCTAAATATGAAAATCTAAATAGGAGTAAATTAAATAATATCTTTCATTTCAAACAAACGAGAAAGGTGTCAACTAGATAATGATTGAGTCCCTTTCTGATGCATAATGACACAATTATTTTCTGGCTGCTTCTCCCTCTTTACCATGTTAATGATGAACTTGCTTTTCTGATTCAGGAAACCTGATCTATCTCTACCATTGAACCAGAAAAGGCAATTTGTTTTTAATGCAGAAGGAATAATGCTGGATAGGAAGTCCCTTAACCGATGATAAAGGATGAAGAAGTGTGCGAGCTATAAAACGTAGTCAATACAAAATCACCAAAATGTGTATGCTGCTGCCACAGTAAGGAAATAAATACTGTGATGACTTGTAGGTGATGTTCATGTAAGAAAGATGCCCAGCCACATTTCTAATATTTTAAAGGCATCTGGAAGGTAATAGACCTTGTGCTTCTACCGTATATTCTATTTTACATCCTATGTTTCTTCTCTCCCCGCACCCAACTTTTACAGATGGACAAGTCTATGATCCTGAAAGGAACAGTGGGAGGAGTTTGGACAGATGAACATGGTGTATTTCCAAGTAGATACTAGCTGTTGGTAGTTAGAAGCCGTCTTTTAATTTCTAAAGAGCTGCTCATTGCGGTGCCTGCATACATGTCTTCAAGTGTCTGAGAGATGCTACACTTAATCACATGTGCTCCTGGGGCTTACAAGCTGGCGTCTTCTGGGCAAACGGCTCCTTAATCCTCCTCGTCAGCAGGGCGTTTGTCCTAAACCCATAAACAATGGAATCCATGCGCTGCCGCCCCGTTTCTTAAAAAGCGATTGTGAAACTTCCCAACAGTCACCACCATGTGCTCCGCATGCTTTGCTCTAGGACCGTTAAGAGCAGTTTGGCACCTGCCCCGGCCAACGGCTTTCACTAACCACCTCACACACACCCCCCAACCCTCATTCCACCAGATCTTGGGCCGTTTCTAAACTCTTGTCAAAAATGGCAGAGGAGAGAAAGAAACCCAAACACACCAGAACTCGCGCCACCGGGCGAAACGGTGTGAGCCTCAGAGGACGCATGGCCCCGCCCTTCCTGTACCTGAGCTTTTGGTGGAGTCCGTGTCCAGGCTGGCCACCGTGCTGGACCGAGAAAGGCCCCCGAGGCTGGAGTCCACAGACTGAGAAATTAGAAGCAAACCAGCATTTAATCATAATTAGAGACACTATCTTCTCTCAAGTTCTCTACCGAACACTCAAACGATGTATCATAGCCGAATGAATACATAACCCCAACTGCTCTCCCGTGACAGTCCCGAGGAAATGCGCTGTCCCCACGGCCGACTCAATCAGAGCCAGTGCCTCTGCCTCCTTACAAGACACCGGATACTTATCTTGTACGTGAAAATCTACACCTGGCTGTCCCCTTATCTCCACTGGCCCCGCGGAGCACAGTGCGGAAGGCAGGCGGGCGCTCCCTGCTGAAGACGTGAGCAGCGACCGGAGAGGTGCAGCGATTTACCCAGGGTCACGCCTGGTCGATACCCCAGACCTCCCGTCCCAGCAGGGCTCCTGGGCCCCACCCCAGCGCTTCCGGAAAATCCCAGCCTGCACCAGTGCACACGCAGGCTGGCAGGCCAGAACACCAATGTGAGCTGCAAAGGAACCCCAGCAACACTGCCAAGCAAAGCACAAAGCAGCATGCGCGTTAGTGCGGAACTACAGCTACAGGCACACACCACGAACCCTACGATTCAAGGAGGGCAGCCCCTTAATTGCATGCAATTTCTATCACATTAAAAAAAAAAAAATTTAAAAAGCGGTGTTTGTTTCTACAAGACCATTTACAGGTCCTGTCCCACCTCGGTTAGTGGATTTAGGGATTTCAGAAAGTCTACCGAGACCAAATGAAATCAAGCACAGAATGTGTCTCTACTGCAAAAAAAAAAAAAAAAAAAAAAAAAAAAAAAAGTGAATGTTAGAACACCCCTAGTTTGAAGGCTACGCGGGCAGGCCTGCCAGGTTAGCATCCTCCATGCACCTCACAGAGACTGAATCCGCAGCGCCGGCCCCTACCTTGCTCTTAGTACTGATCTCGCTACTTTGGGAGCTGCTACTACTGTGCCGCTTTTTGCCTTTCCGAAACATTGTCACTACAGCGTGGTCCAGGCGCTCCCCTAGGAAAACAAATGTCCCGTTATACCAAGAAGAGCAGCTTTAAACCACTTCATGCAGAACGGGCATAAACACTATCCCTTCCCCTCACCTGGGAAATGTTGGAGCTCACAATGTGGGTGCTATCCTTATTTCCACTGTTTCTTTTTAAATTCTAAAAATCTAACCCCAGCCCTAACCGGTTTGGCTCAGTGGATAGAGCGTCGGCCTGCGGACTGAAGGATCCCGGGTTCGATTCCGGTCAAGGGCATGTACCTTGGTTGCGGGCACATCCCCAGTGGGGAGTGTGCAGGGGGCAGCTGATTGATGTTTCTCTCTCATCGATGTTTCTAACTCTCTATCCCTCTCCCTTCCTCTCTGTAAAAAATCAATAAAATATCTATTTAAAAAAATAAATAAATAAAAAATAAAAATCTAACCCCAAAGGGGCAGACACCTTGTCATCCCTGCAGGTGTCGTCCCTACAGGCACTGTTTTCAGAAGCAACGGACAGATGCCATTTAATTCTCGAAATACCAATTCCAGACACTGCGACTCAGTGCGCGTCCTGCAAACAGCAGGGCGGGGCCCAGGAGACAGTGCGGGTGCCCATCCAGGCGGCGGGGTGCCCATCCAGGCGGCGGGGTGCCCATCCAGAAGGCGGGGTGCAGCCCCTTTAAACGCG